AATAATAATAATAATAATAATAATAATTATTATTATTATTATTATTATTATTATTATTATTATTTTGATACTCTTGTGTTCTGTGTTCTTTCCACCCTGCTCAAGGCAACATCCATGGCTTGTGCATTTTCCCAGGGTTTGCTCTACCCACTCTGCCGTGCTTTCTTTCACTTCTTGATCATGAGTGAGACAGACTGGTAGACTCAATGCCTGGTTACCAACCCATAGGGAGAATTCAGTTCCAAACAAGGCTCCTCCGACTTGGGCCAGCTCTTGTGTTCTGTGTTCTTTCCACCCTGCTCAAGGCAACATCCATGGCTTGTGCATTTTCCCAGGGTTTGCTCTACCCACTCTGCCGTGCTTTCTTTCACTTCTTGATCATGAGTGAGACAGACTGGTAGACTCAATGCCTGGTTACCAACCCATAGGGAGAATTCAGTTCCAAACAAGGCTCCTCCGACTTGGGCCAGGCTGTGTGCCAACAGGATCTCCAAAACACACAGAGCTGTGCTTCTAAACTTGCACTCCAACCCCGAGATAAAGTAGGTGGTCGGTCACCACGTGCTTTATGTGGTGGGAGGGGGGGGTTCAAGTTTGATTTCATGCAAAATCCCAATTCGTTGAGCAGGTCTTTCTGTTAGGGAAAAAGTTGTATTTTATTGAAAGAAGCAATTAAAAAACATTAAAAATGAATTTAAAAGGTAACATTCATGGCAAGATTAAAAAAAATAAGAAGCCACACAAGAAGTCAATACAGCTAAATCAACTTTCTAATGTTTACATAATAGAGGACAGCATAGCCTCTGAGCACGAGCTACGTTGAGTTCTAGGCAGCAGAGCACAATGGCAGCAGGCCAGAGCTTCCTGCCCTCAGGGTAGTTAAGGACTCCCAAGGAATTTCTGGAGCCCCTTTGTAGTTTCAGAGTTCACCTCCAAAGTGGTTCTCCAGAGCCAACCAAACAGGCTCCAGTCTCCTGAAACTTTTCTAGATTATTTTTCCAGCCTCATTGCAGCTGAAGATGGTTCTCTTATATGGGATGATTTCAGAGCTAGCAAAGCTGGTTCGGGCGCTTGTTTCTCGGGAGATAAACCAGATCTTAGTAGCTGAGACAGATTCCAAAAAAGCAAAGTGCACCGCTTAGGTGCCACCCCATAGTGGTAGAGCACTCTCTGGGTGGTTTACAACGGAGTCACGCAGGCTACACATTGCCCACCCCCCACTCCAAGCAAGCTGGGTACTCAGTTTACCAACCTCGGAAGGAGGGAGGGCGGATTCAATCTCAAGCAAGCTACTTGAGCCCAGGATCGATCTCGGGTCCGGAGCAGAGCCTTCACTGCAGTACTGCAGTTTAACTTCCGCACCACGATCATGTTCTCCATGGCTTTTCTCAGCCTCATTCAAGAGGCACTCATATTTCTCTGACTTCATAGTTTCTTCAAATGAGTCACATGGTCTCCTTTTTCCCCCCCTTCCAAACAGCCCTGTGAGGTAGGTTAGGCCGGAAGACCACGGGAGGCCCAAGGTCCTAGCTGGACGGAGATGAGAACCCAAATTTTCAGACTCGACGCCCGGCATTCTTGACAATGACGCCACCCTGGCTCTCTTTCTCCCCCGAAGGACTCGATCACAACTTCCACTAAAGAGGACTTTGCTTGGAATTTTGAAAGAGAGAAAGCCGTTTCAAGCTGGTTGCCCCAGGTCTTCCTTGCAAGAAGACCAGGCGTGTCGCAGGAACCCTAAATGCTTCTGCTAAGCACTTCTAAGCCCCCGCTCAGCCACTTTCAACTTGGAGGGGTGTATTAGATGCAGATAAGCGGTGCGGTCTCGGCTAGATGTCACCTTTTTGCTACCCCATTCCTGCTGCTCTTACCTGAGGAAGGGGGGGAACGCAGGTAACGGTCGAGAGTAAATCCATTTCCCATGTCATCGTGGAGCCTGTGCTGAGCACCGATCGAAGATGGTGGAGAAAAGCTTGGCGAGTCCCCAAGCGAAAAGAGGCGCTCCCAGCGGCCCCGAGGCTGGCTACCTTTGGGCCTTCCGGGAGGAAAGGGAGCCGAAGACCCTCGGCGTGGACGCCAGCGTCTCAGAGGAACAGCGCCAGCTCTTCAGGCGGTTCTCCTACCAGGAGGCCACGAGCCCCCGGGAGGCTTGTGCCCGACTCCACGATCTTTGCCGCCGGTGGCTGAAGCCGGAGAGGCGCACCAAGGCGGAGATGATGGATTTGGTGGTCCTGGAGCAGTTCCTGGCCATCCTTCCACCAGAGATGGGGAGCTGGGTGCGAGAGTGTGGGGCGGAGACCACATCCCAGGCGGTGGCCCTGGCCGAGGGCGTCCTCCTGAGCCAGGCGGCAGAGAAAAAGCAGGTGGGTGCCTTTCATCTTGAACATGCCAAGGATCTGTCTTTAAGACTTAACTTTTGCCTCTGTAGTTCCTGTAAGTGGTTCCTATCACAATGTGGCTTTAGATTTAAGGAAGATCTTCCCGGTAACATTTATGGGAGGGGTGGATCGCCCTACAAGTAGAGCCACAGGCACTATCCTGCTTTCCCACAGCTAAATGCAACTCATTTTCCTCATTGAGCTAACCTTTGATTTTTTTCCTCCTCCTGCCAGGAATAGAGATTTGAAACATGCCAGAGATCTCAGGGAATTTTGGATTGGAACACTTCCCTCTTTCCTTACTTACCCATTTATTTACTTTTTCAGCATTCCTGCCCAGATCCAGGCCAAATGGTTGGCTCGATGGTGAAAAAAAATAGTCATGCTGGTACCAGGCAAACCTCCCTAGGGAGGCAATCCCAGAGATAGGGGACTGGCCCTATTTTTTAAGAAACCCAGCATGCCCTTCTCTGCCAAAAGGAATCGGAAGAGAGACTGGTCGGAAAAAAAATTAAGGAAGGAGCAGGTGGTGTGGGAAGAGAGAGGCTTTGGTAGGTGTTTGGTTTTCCAATGGGTTGAATGGTTTATGAAGAAGTAAGGTAAAGTTAAAGGTTCCCCTTGACATTTAGTCCAGTCATGTCCAACTCTAGGGCGCAGTGCTCATCCCCATCTCCAAGCTGTAGAGTCAGCGTTTGTCCAAAGACAGTTTCCATGGTCACGTGGCCAGCACGACTAGACACGGAACGCCGTGACCTTCCCACCGAGGTGGTACCTATTTATCTACTTGCATTTTTTTACATGCTTTTGAATGGCTAGGTTGGCGAGAAGATGAAGAAGAAGTGCTGGCAGCTTACGTTAGGATTGTATTTGGATTTAAAGAGAAGCAAACTTCTTGCAAAGCGATGTCCTTGGTTTGTTACGTTTCTGCCTTTTGCTACTCTCTTCCTGCATGGTGGGTCTGATACTTGTTTCTCTCTCAGCCGGTAGCCCAAGCAGCCACCAAATTCCCCGTGGCAAAGAAGGCCTCGCTGGACACCAAGAAGGCAGCAGTGGCGGCACTGGGGTGGATGATGCAAGACAGCCAAGGAGAAGTCACCTCACAAGGTAAAAAGGGCTCGGCGGAGGCTTCTTCCTGATTGACCTTTTATCCTGATTCTTTTTTTAAAATTAGCTTATTTCTACTACCTGAATAAAGCCTGAAATTCTGGGGAGATGGTCACATTTTTGGAAAGGAGGTGCTTCTGTCTTAATTTTCTGAAAGTGTGAAAATAGAGTTTCCATTGATAGGAGACCAAAACGTGGAGTTGAACACACATCCCTATTGGTTTTGTTCACTTCCAGTTATTTATTAATTTTTTTAAAAAAAAAGCCTCAACTCCTTTTTGAAATGTATCTGTTTGAGTTAATGGTGTAATGAGAAGAAAGGTGGACAGAGAGTAGCCTTTGTCTTTTAAGGACCTTCGGTGTCCCCGGAGCCCTCCAGGCCCAATTGAGTGAGAACCGTGTACTTTTCAAAAGGTTGGAAGACCGTTTACAAACATTTAAAACAGGATTAGTGGCATACTCAGGATACTTGACCAGTCTTCCGGTCTGAATCCCAAGTCTGGGTCTACCAGCCCGAGTCCGACGCCTCAAGTCTGAGTCTCGAGTTGATGGTCCCGCTGCCTGGTTGTGTGTGTGTGGTGGGGAGGATTCCCAGACAGCGGGCCTAGAAGGGCAGCTGGGCCTGCTGGTGGCAGCTGATTGTTGGGAGTTGAAAAACACGACGTAGACAAATGGGTCCAAGTTGCGAGTTGAGTCCGGCCTTCCAAAGAAAACCCCCGAGTCAAAGTCCGAATCACATTGCAACTTAAGTCAGACTCGACAGCAAGTCATGACTTCCGAGTCCCTCTTCCTGCTGCACACTCTACAATCAAAACCAATATTTCTGGGGAACTATGTCCAGTGGCCCACCCAAATGCTTTTTACTTGGAAAATGTTTACAAACAGTTTCAAAAGAGAACTTGGCACACAATATCAAACCAGTGTATTCTCGAAGGCTTTCACGGCTGGGATCTGATGGTGGTTGTGGGTTTTTTGGGCTCTTTGGCGTGTTCCTAACATTTCGCCAGTCTCTGTGGCCGGCATCTTCAGAAGACAGGAGTCAGAACTCTGTCTGTGCTCTGTTGCACTTTGTTGGATAGCTGAGTATGTATAGCTATGGGATCAGCTTTTGTCCTTTTCAGGAGATTGGGTGATTATGGTGATCAGTGTGTTTTTTGTTATGGGTGTATTGTTGTGATAAGGGGGAAAGATGATCTGTCACTGTGATTGATCGGTGTTGTTAGCTGGTCTTTTGTGTGCACTGATCACTGGTCCTTGTGGTTGGATAGAGTGTCTTGACCTTTTGCCCTGCAATCACCAGTGCATTAAATTCAGACAAGGTGCATAGTTGCTAATGGCTTTGTGTCTTCTTGTGGTCTTTCTCTCACAGGTGGCAGAAGGAAGCAGACCATCTGTCTTCAGACTTCTTCTATTCCTGGTGGAGCCAAAACGTCGGTCCTGACACCTGCTCAGGTAGGTGGAAGATTCAGTCGGGAGATGGCGTGGGAGGCAACCTGGGGGCTTCACCCCTCTGCTCACCTTGCTAGGTGGAAGCCACTTTTCCTCCTCCTTTGGGTTTCCCATTTTTTCTCTCGACACTACGAGGAGAAATCCTTTCCTTTTCCTTCCAGGATCTGGTGATATTTCAGGATGTGGCTGTGGGCTTTGCAGAAGAAGAGTGGGCTCTGATGGACCTAAACCAAAAAGCTTTGCACAAGGACGTGATGGAGGACATCTCCTGGATGCTGGGCTCTCTTGGTAAATCTTCCTTTTTCTGTGGCTGAATAGATCTTCTTTTGAAAAGTTTTTTTGAACATTGAGCCATTTAGGTGTATCTCCGACATTTGACATCCTGCTTTTTTCTGGCCTGGTCCGAATCCTTTTCCGGATTAAAACTCTGATGTAATATTTCCCGACTGAACTAAAATCTGAGACGAGACCATGTACAGACATAACATAGCCATAAAATGATCGAATCCTCATTTAACTAGCAGCAACAAGTATCTCAACTGGCCTCAGCAACAGGAAGAGATCTTTGAATCAGAGAAGTGCAGAAAGTCATTGAGTGCAACCCAGTTGTTGTTGTTTAGTCGTGTCCGACCCTTCATGGCCCCATGGACCAGAGCACGCCAGGCCTTCCTGGTTTCCAGTGCCTCCCAGAGTTTGGTCAAATTCATGTTGGTAGTTTTGATGACACTGTCCAACTATCTCATCCTCTGTCGTCCCCTTCTTCTCTTGCCTTCACACTTTCCCAACATCAGGGTCTTTTCCAGGGAGTCTTCTCTTCTCATGAGATGGCCAAAGTATTGGAGCCTCAGCTTCAGGATCTGTCCTTCCAGTGAGCACTCAGGGTTGATTTCCTTTAGAATGGATAGGTTTGTTCTCCTTGCAGCCCAGGGGACTCTCAAGAGTCTCCTCCAGCACCACAGTTCAAAAGCATCCATTCTTCAGCGGTCAGCCTTCTTTATGGTCCAGCTTTCACTTCCATACATCGCTACTGGAAAAACCATACCTTTGACTATACAGACCTTTGTCAGCAAGGTGAAATCTGTGCTTTCTAAGATGCTGTGTAGGTTTGTCATTGCTTTACTCCCAAGAAGCTGTCACCATCACTCTTGCAGGCAGCCTGGTTGAGCTTAAGAGTGTGAGAGATATTTAAATAACTATTGACATAGCGCTGAGGACATAAGGAGAGGTGTCACCTGACCTCTGAGGTCATATGATTGCTGGAGCAACACTGCTCTAAGTTTTTGACAGTTGATCTTTGCCCACTTGCTACTTTCCTGCCTCGACAGCCATTGGGAGCAGAGTGAGTGAGAGGGTCCTTGGCTTTTCAAAATTACTTACATTTACCTTTCATCTGGGCTTAACCGTGGACTTTCTCAGCCATTCAGGTTCATAGTTTGTAGACATGTACTCTGTATCAACGGACAGGATTGCTTCCTGTTTTGTCTATATCTCTGGAAACTACATTAAGTTGTTGCCTGGGTAGTGTAGGTTTAAGGTGGTGAGGTCTGGCAGGGCACTTTTGAGAGGTTGCTGTTGTTTTTGAATTGAGTTAAATGAGTTTGTTAGGGGGCAGCCAGATGTAAGCTGGATTTTGATAACAGACTTCCCACACAGATGGGAAAGAGTAGCATTTGTGGGGATCCTTTTCTGGGTGCCCCCTTTCTGATGGAGCCGTGGGTGTCGTCGTTGGAAACGAAACAGAAATGTTTCATTTCTGAAACATTTGCCCACTCTGCATGATTAATCTGTGTACTTCATCCCTAACATTTCTTAGATTGTATTCAGTTCATCTCCTTCCTTAGTAACCATAATTAGAAAAAAAGTTTTTTGTTTCTGTTGTTCAGAAATGAACAACAGACCTCTTTACATATTTTTTCCGAGTCTGAAGGCTTTCGGGGCTTCGAAAGCTGCACTCGCTGTCCCCTGTCCCTGGTGCCGTCTGCCTCCTGTGGACAGGAGGCAGAGGGCGCCGGGGACAGGAGACAAGACGGCAGTGGGAGTGGCTTTAAATTTCCTGCCCTTTCCCCCTGCCTTTCGTAGGTCAAAGTTCCGGCCACAAGTCGAACTAAAAATTTGCAGCCGGAGCTTTGCGTACCTCAAAATTTCCGTAAGTAGGGACCTTCGTAAGTCGAGGGTCCACTGTATTTCCTATTTAAAAATGGAAATCCCATTGAGAAAAGAAGTCTTGCTTCTGGCTTGCCTTTTCCTGGTGCTGAATGTTGTTACCCTAATATCCATGTTTCAGTAAGGGCATAGTTCCTCTGCTGTGTTCTTTTGCTTTTATATATTCTTCTTCCTCTCCCCCTTCCCCTCTGCCTTCTTGACTGAATCCTTATCTCTGTCAGTCTTCAGACACACCCCATCCCTCCTTTTCCCTCCTTTTTGCTCTTGCCCGGTATCTGTTTTCTGTCTCCTGTAGCAATGTTTACAATAGAGCCTAACACCAAACATAGGCCATAAATCACTGCATGAGAGATGTAACCACACACCCAAGACTCTTAGGAGCCCATGAATATTTATTTGAGAAAATTCATCCAGTACAGTGGTGCCTTGCTTGATGACGTTAATTCGTTCCAGCGAAATCGCTGTAAAGTGAAAATGTCATCAAGCAAAATAAAAAAGCCAATTGAAATGCATTGAAAACAGTTCAGTGCATTCCAATGGGCTGAATACCTGCTCGTCCAGCGCAGATCCTCCATACGGCAGCCATTTTCTGTGCCTGCAAAGCAAGGAATCCGTCCTAGAAAATAGCGGGGGGCCATTTTGAGCAGCCGGCAGCCATTTTGAAAACCCGATAATCAGCTGTTTTGATTGTCGTAATGTGAAGAATTGGTTCCCGAAGCAGGGACCTGATCTTTGCAAAGCGAAAAAAACCCATTAAAACATTGTTTTGCGATTGCAATTGCGATCGCAAAAACATAGTCGTTAAGCGGATTTGTTGTTATACGGGGTAATCGTTAAGCGGGGCATGACTGTATTTCACTCCCCCCCATGTCTGACTAAGTGGATATGATCCACGAAAGCTCACATTAAATTAGAATAGTCTTTAAGGTGCAACATGTTTTAGTCTCTCTTTCTTTGGTTTTGTTTCTTTGCCTGATATGCCTGCCCAGACTAATGAGTCGTTAAGCGGATTTGTTGTTATACGGGGTAATCGTTAAGCGGGGCATGACTGTATTTCACTCCCCCCCATGTCTGACTAAGTGGATATGATCCACGAAAGCTCACATTAAATTAGAATAGTCTTTAAGGTGCAACATGTTTTAGTCTCTCTTTCTTTGGTTTTGTTTCTTTGCCTGATATGCCTGCCCAGACTAATGTGGCTACCTCTTCTCAAACGGCAATCAGTAACCTGTGTTACTGTGCAGACATAATGTCTTACCCTGTTTCCCCTAAAATAAGACCTAACCTGAAAATAAGCCCTAGTATGATTTTTCAGGATGCTTCTAATATAAACCCCACCCCGAAAATAAGCCCCAGTTAAGTGAAACTCACCATTGTGCAGGAACTAGATGACATAACTGTATTTGAATAAATGTAGATGGTTGTACATAAAAAAAAAAAAACAGCCCCTGAACTTACTGTGTTTTAGGAGCAAAAATTAATGTAAGACCCGGTCTTATTTTTGGGGAAACATGGTAACACATAAGTTACAGATGATTCACCCTTACTGATTGTGCCTTCGTTTAGATGTTGCGTATCTCTCAAGCCTGGGGTGGCATGAAATGACAGTTCTTTGTCCATTCTGTTGATTTCACCCCCCACCCTTTTCTCCTACTCACCCGTGCAACGCTTACCTTAACACATAAGTTACAGATTATTCACCCTTAATGATTGTGCCTTCGTTTAGATGTTGTGCCTGGGGTGGCATGAAATTACAGTTCTTTGTCCATTCTGTTGATTTCTCCTACTCACCCGTGCAACGCTTACCATTCACTCTGGTCATGTTCGCCTCCTCCTCCTCAGTCCGCCTCTCAATTGAGAGCTTGTAAGTCTTCCCAGATTTTCCATGCTTCATTAAAGAGGTGGTGTGTGAGGCCTTCCATCCCCATCCTAGGTAGATCTGGCCGCCTTAGGGTCTTCTGCCAATAACTGTTGCTAGCACAGGTTTTCTTTATTTACCCAGGTGCTTCCGACAGGGGCTCCCTGTCATCACCTTCCCACACCAGGGAGCTGAGTCCCCCGGACACAGTTCTATCCTGGCCTCAGTTCTCATTACGTGTTTACGGTCTTTGCCGGAACTAGTTCTGGGGCCCTCAACCCATCGCCGTGTTCTGCTAATGTAACAGGGCCCTCAACCCATCGCCGTGTTCTGCTATGTCTCTGCTCCCCAAAGAAACAGCATCGTTGACGTCTTCTCTATCTCCTGCAGGCAACACGGTGGCATCGGAAGCCAATCCCAGATCATCTCCTCTTTTGGGCAGAGTGGGAACTTTCAGCCGCTCCTGTTTCCCCATCTCCAGACATACCAAAAATATTCTAAACGGACCAGGTAAGAAGACTGTGAGCAAGGAGGTGTTTTGTTTTTTTCTTGGTGTGAACCCGGCAAAAATCATTCTAAATGATTAAAGGAAAGGCTCTCACCTGCCCAGGGTGTATGCTGGGGGGGCAATTTCTGAGCTTCAGTGAACCTACTCTCGATAAATTCGCTGTGCTCAGATGCTGTCTGTGAGTTCCCCTTTCAGGGGAAAGTGATATTCGTGGGAGAAGAGGAGGGTCCTGGTCGTTTCACATCCAGGGTCTCTGCAGTGGCCAAATGGGAAAGCAGATCAAGAAGCACCGGTTAGGTTTATGTCTTTCTGGGGGGCGGCGGTTCCCCATAGCCTCCCAGTGGCCTCCCACTGTCACCAGCACAATGGATCAGATAGGCTTCAGGCGTCTTATACTCTGAACAGATCTGGGCCAAGATGTTTTGCTACCTGATGAGACAGCACCCCCTTCCTATCTTGCATTCTGGAGCTGGGCAGACTGGAGATGGCCCAGCCTTCCTTTCTGCAGCTCAGGGAAACAGGTTCGTTGGGAGTGTTCACCCTTAGCCAGCCTCGAATGCCCAATGGGGGAGCTTTTATCATGGAGAGACAAACAATAGAGCCATTTTCCCCCTTGGAAGAATTTCCCAAAACAGACATCTAATTTTTTTCACAATAATTCCCCAAGAATGGGGGAGAGTTCAACAGGAATCTCCTTCTGTATGGAGGATCTGGGGAGTATTTTCCTCTCCCAGTGAAGAGGCTGCCTGGCTGCCTTATTTCATCTTTTTCATGCACCTCAAAAGACCTTCATTTCCAAGGGGCCCCAATCTATTTGTTCCCTCCAGGGATCAGGAGAGGAGGAACTGCAGAAATCCCATCTCTGGACCAGATTGATCCAGCAATCTGAACATGATTTTATGGATGTCTTATCCATATTGATGCCTGCGCAGGATCTTGGTGCAAATACCAGGATTCTCCCCAGAAAAGCTGAGAAACCTAGAGGCAGAGCAAGTTCCATCGTTAAAGGTATCCTTTCACTTGTAGAATTCCCCAAAGTATTTGTCTTCTTTTTTTTCTAAAGCAGATGATGAAAAAGATGACAAGAACTCTCCCAATACATCTATGGTGCCCTTCGAAAGAACTGATCATGAGGCAGGGAAACAGATAGTTGAAAATTGGAGCGGACAGACATGGTACAAAGGTAACCCACCAAAGAAGGGAAAGACGAAATCTTCAGCTGATTCTTCTAAACTCCTGGCCTTCCGGGAAAACCAGGAAGGAAAAAGTAGAAGCTGTTCTGTCTCGGAGAAAATATTCAAGTATAACTGGGTCTTAGATAGAAATAGCAGAGTCCACACCCAAGAGGAACCAAAGAATTTCATGGACCGTGATCATAGCTTCACTGTGAACAGCAGTCTGGTTTCATATGAAAGGATAGAGACAGGCAAGAAACCATATGAATGCTTGGAGTGTGGAAAAGGTTTCACAGTGAAGCGTAATCTTACTCTGCACCAAAGGACGCACACAGGGGAGAAACCATACAAGTGCACAGAATGTGGGAAGAGCTTCAGTCGAAGTGGTACCCTTTCTGTTCACCGGAGAACTCACACAGGGGAGAAACCGTATAAATGCCTGGAATGTGGGAAGAGCTTCAGTGAAAGTAGTAATCTTTCGGTGCACAGAAGAACTCACACAGGGGAGAAACCCTACGAATGCACGGAATGTGGGAAGAGCTTCATTGACAGCAGTAGCCTAAGTTCACATCAGAGAACTCACACTGGGGAGAAACCATGTCAATGCATGGAATGCGGGAAGAGGTTCAGGCAGATAGGTAGCCTAAGTTCTCATAAGAGGACTCACACAGGGGAGAAACCCTATAAATGCATGGAATGCGGGAAGAACTTCAGTCAGAGATCCAACCTGCGTTCTCATCTAAGACTACACACAGGGGAGAAACCATACAAGTGCATGCAATGTGGGAAGAGCTTTAGTAGAAATGATCATCTTTCTTTGCACGAGAAAACCCACTTACGGCAACACCAAGTAAGTGATATGGTACACACCAATAGCATGGTATTTTTCCCCATCAGCCATCATCTATTACCTGATGTGGGAGCTCCATCTGCTGAATGACAGAATTGGCCCTGATGCTTCTACACCACTGCCTTCTGCAGAATGCATTCTGCATCAAATGCAGAAAGAACTTCTATCAAAGTCATAATCTTTCTATGCATACAAAGTGAACATGAGGGGGAACTGTATAATATTCAAGGAACGTCAGGCAAAACACAAATTTTTCTGTTCATGCAATATTACGCACAAGAATAAATCATATAAATACATGAAATGTAGAAAGAGCTTCGCTGTGAACAATGCTTTTACCGTACACGAAATAACCCCCACTGGGAGGAAGTCATATAAATGCATGGAATATGAGAAGAGCTTCAGTCAAAAGATTCACACATGGAAAAGATATGTAGAATAAGGAAACAGCCTGCTAAGGAATAATGGTTGTTCTGTACACCAAACAACGCACATAAATGTATTGACCACAGAAAGTGTTAACTGCTATGCTCTTACTTTAGCATAGTAAATCACAGTTAAATTTAATATGCTAAGGACCAGCAATTTGGCCGTGATTCTTTTGAGCCAGTGATGCCATGTGGTCCCCCAGAATTTTTAAGAGTTAGGCTCATTTGAATCAATTAAATTTACAGATGGGTTGGCTAACCAAATCCCCATTGATTCAATGGGCCTAATCTGGGGCGATTTACTATGCTAAGGACCAGCAATTTGGCCATGATTTTTTTTTCTTTTGAACCAGTGATGCCATGTGGTCCCCCAGAATTTGCCCGTCTCTTCCCTAAAAAGAGCTGGATGGAGGGTAAAACAGGCTGAAGGAGGCCTTCTGGGTGGCGGGACAGGGAGAGAAAGAAGATGGAGGGGAAAACAGATTTAAAAAATGTGAATGACAATGAGTACAGGGCAGGAAAGTGTCCCTGATGGTTTCTTCTCCACCTGTTGAACTTCTGTCACAAAGCTTTTAAAAGTGCAAAACACGTGCACACGCATGCTCACACACCCTGCCTTCTTCCTGTGATGGGAGCAAAAGGTGGGTCCTGTAACTAGCTTCTGCCAGAGTTGCTCGTTCCAACCAGGCCGGGCGGCTGAGGGGCCTAATCCCAAGGGAGGTCCAAAAGGAAAGAACGAGGAACCGGGCCAGCTTGCCTGTGGAGATCCGCCTGGCTCCCTCTCTGAGTGTCTTCAGAAGCAACTTAAATTCACATCTTACCATCCTGGATTTATTGCATGTTTATTCCTAAAATTCACATCTTACCATCTTGGATTTATAGCGCATGTTTATTGGTTTAACTGTTTTTAAATTTGTAATGCTGCCCAGAGTAGACTTTTGGTCTAGATGGGCGGGGTAGAAATCCAATAAAATAAATAAGTAAGTAAGTAACTTATAACTGCCTAGAGTGCTCGTTCTGTAAGTAAATAACTTATAACTGCCTAGAGTGCTCGTTCTGAGCAAAAAGGGGAGGGTATAAATTAAACAAACAAACAAACAAACAAACAAATAAATAAATAAATAAATACCCAGGTGGAGAATGTGATGGGACTAGGATTCAGGAGGCCCGAGTTCAAATCCTCATTCAGCTGTGGAAAACTGACTGGGGGGCATGAAACTGGTAAAACCGCTCCTTAAATCTCTCACACCTTAAAAGCCCCTCTTTGGATCACTGTAAGTCAGTTCCGATTTGACAGGACAGAACAACGTAATGGAAGACAGGCAAAGACAGGCAAAGAGATGAAAAACAAAACAAAAAACAGCAACACAAATGAGAGAAAAATGTCAAATTGCTCGAGAGCCAATTCCTCTGAGGGAACATCAGTAAGTGCTCACATTAAAATATAACAGCGTTTAAGATGCTGCATGTTGTTGTCTCTGGGTTCAGGGATTTGCCCCAGTGGCTGGAGGAAAGGGAGGAAGGCGGGGAGCATCCCCTTTGTTGAGCCCACTGCCTCCCTCCCTTCTGGCCAGACGTCTGTCAGCCTCTCCTTTGGCTCAGAGCATCCACATAGATCTTTGCAAGTCCTCCTCACCGCTTTCTAGTGTTGACGGTTGCAGCCACGCTTCTCCATGGCCTTTCCTCTGTCCAGTCCCTTCAACAGCAGGGCAGGAGGTGGTGAAATGGCCACGGAGCTGCCCTGCCCTTGCAGAGAGGCGGAAAGAAAGAATCGGATAGAATCATGATGATGGGAGGGGCCCGTGAGACCATCAAGTCTACCCCCTGCTCGAGGCAGAAATACAAATCAAAGGATATCTGCCAGATGATGGTCTAAGTTTCTCAAGAATGCCTCCAGGGTGGGAGCACTCAGCACCTCTGAAGGTCACTGGTTCTGTCGTCGTACTGCTCTTACAGTTAGGAAGTTTTTCCTGATATTCAACTGAAATCAGGCTCCCTGTAAATTGACACCATGGTTATGTGTCCTGCACTCTAGTATGATCGAGAACAGGTCCTGCTCCTCCTCTGGAGGACAGCCTTTGCAGTCTTTGAGAAGTGCTTTCTGGTCTCCCCTTAGTCTTCCTTCTCAAGGCAAAACATGTCCAGTCCTTTCAGGATTGCAAGCCTGCATGGATAACAGTGAATCCACGACTGATTTTTTTTTTGGTGGGGAAATGAGCCCACAAGAATAGGATGGAGTGTGTGTGTGTGGGGTGAGAATCTTATTTTATTGTAGGAAAGTGTCCTGGAAGACATATGTGATCCTAACCATCATATCTTAACAACCATTTGATTCACTTTTGAGAGTAACTCGCCGGGGCTCAACTCAGCTTCTATCATAATATCAAAATGCATAACTTTTGTCGATGCCTGGAAGCACCTTCTGATCCTCTCACATCCTCCCAAAAGCCACCTGACCCGAAAGTCCGAGGCTCCCCCTCCCTTGCCACGGCCTTTAGAAAGCGATTCCTGCATCTCTGTCTCACACTTGGGGAGGATGCTGGGCGAGGAGGAGGAGAGGCTGGGGCTGCGAAGGGGAATCAGAGGGACTTCATGCAAGGGGTCCTTGGGAGAGGCTCCTGCCGGGACCCTCTTGAATGGAAAAGAAATTCTTGGCACAGATGACATGGGGAAAATTTGAATGTTTGTGTGTGAGGGAGGTAGGGGGGTCTCCATCAGCCCAGCATTTAATGCCTAAAAGAGGTCGCCTGCTTGAGGGCAAGTGGTCAATGGAAGACATAAATAAGGACAGGCAGGGAGAGGAAGTGACTCTTTGAGGGGCGTCTTCTGGACCCTTTAGAAAAGAAAGTGAGGAGGAAGGGGAAATTAGACGTCTTTGTGTCTTGCTACTCCCCAGGGAGAGCTTCAAAGGGGGAAAAATCACCCGCTTGAAAGGGGGGGGGAAATGACCAAGTCCTCTCCACTCTTTTCAAAGCTTCCTATGGTCAGTGTGAACAGTCGGGGTCGGGGCCAGAGGAGAGAGTTGTGGTTTTGGACCAAAACTCTCCCGATTCTCTCATGCACTTTGAGGAGTGGCCGTCCAAAACCACTTTATTTCTCCATCTCTATGGGAACGTTTCGCTTGAGGGTGTGCTTTTTATCCAGCTTGTTTTTATTAGTAAGTAGAATACAAAGGAAATCAAGCCTGAGTGCTCACTGGAAAGACAGATCCTGAAGCTGAGGCTCCAATTCTTTGGCCATCTCATGAGAAGACTCCCTGGAAAAGACCCTGATGTTGGGAAAGTGTGAAGGCAAGAGGAGAAGGGGACGACAGAGGATGAGATGGTTGGACAGTGTCATCGAAGCTACCAGCATGAATTTGGTACCAAACTCTGGGAGGCAGTGGAAGATAGGAGGGCCTGGCGTGCTCTGGTCCTTGGGGTCACAAAGAGTGAGACACGACTAAATGACTAAAAACCAACAAAGAATACAAGAAGGCAAAGTTGGTGTGAGCCACTTGGATGTATTTTTAAACATTAATGTAAAAACAGGAAAATATTTTGGGCACTTTATTATGGATCGTGGTACCTGCACTCAAGCAAACTGAGTCTTGCAAAGTCACAGCTGTGGATTCCCTTCTGAAGTCAGTCTGTCTTGTGTTAGGCCTTCCTCTCTTCATGCTGTCATCAACCTTCTCCAGTCAATCTTGTCCTGTCACGATGTGTCTAAAGCACAATAGCTTCTTTTTTCATTTGTTTTTACTTATAGAGGCACTTCAGAGTTTATTCTGTTTAATTAGCCTCATAGAACCAAGAGAATGATATAAAATTGGCTCCCAGTGTATTGGGGGGTGCTTAAGATGATACCTCGTTTCGTTTAGTCGTTCAGTCATGTCCGACTCTTCGTGACCCCATGGACCAGAGCACGCCAGGCCCCCCTGTCTTCCACTGCCTCCCGGAGTTGGGTCAGATTCATGTTGTGAAATGTCCAATCATCTCATCCTCTGTTGTCCCCTTCTCTTGCCTTCACATTTTCCCAACATCAGGGTCTTTTCCAAGGAGTCTTCTCTTCTCATCAGATGGCCAAAGTATTGGAGCCTGAGCTTTAGGATCTGTCCTTCCAGTGAACACTCAGGGTTGATTTCCTTTAGAATGGATAGGTTTGTTCTCCTTGCAGTCCAGGGGACTCTCAAGAGCCTCCTTCAGCAACACAGTTCAAAAGCATTAATTCTTCGGCGGTCAGCTTTCTTTATGGTCCAGCTCTCGCTTCCATACGTCACTACAGGAAAAACCATAGCTTTGACTATGCAGACTTTTGTTGGCAAGGTGATGTCTCTGCTTTTTCAGATGCTGTCGAGATTTGTCATCGCTTTCCTCCCAAGAAGTAGGCGTCTTTTAATTTCGTCCCTAGCTCTATTGCCTTTCAATTTATACATCAATGATATGGTAGCCACGTTAACTGGACTGCAATTTTTCCCTGTAAGAGTACGTGGAAAGTCTGTTTCAATTTTACTCTATGCAGACGATACCTTGCTAATATCCCACACACAAATAGGTCTTAGAAGATTATTAAAACAATT